CACATACCAATGGAAAGAGGGGTCATAGAGTTTCTGACTGTCAGTATGGCAGTGAACCTCCAACAGCTCAGAGCATTTGTCGTTGGTACCAACAGTTCCAAGAAAAAGGTCATCATCATCACCACATCTCACACTGTGTGACTTTTTTGTGGGAGTACATTAAGGATTCTGTTTATGTGCCACCACTTCCAAAAACACTGAATGATCTCCGAAATAGCATTGAAAGAGCTGTGAGTACGGTGACACCCGACATGCTCAATCGAGTATGGGATGAATGTGACTATCGCGTTGATGTTGTCTGTACAGCTGGAGGAGGTTCATATTGAGCACTTGTAAAATTACATAATAAACTTTATGCTCATTTAAACCATTTACAATTTACTGCATTGTTCCATAATGATTTACAATTGAAATAAATCATTTGAAATCGGATGAATCTTTTTGAATCACCCTGTATATTTAACAGGCCTCAACAACTAAATGTAATATAACTTTTTTCAGTATTTATGTGTACTCCATCTTTATTACAGCTTCCATTCTTTTCAGGATACTTGCTCTCCGTATTTCAAAGAAAACTGCAGGGATGTTTTTCCATACCTCAACTGTGAACCTTAAATAAGTTTATCCCAGGTGAAAAGTATGTTTTTGTACCTTTTCATAACCTAATGCTTCAAAACAGAACAATAAGATAAAAAGCCTGGAGATGAGACGGGGTATGTGGAGTCAATACAACTTAGAAAATATAATTTCAATGGATTGTGGAACAGTTATGTTCCCTGACTAAAGATACTTGATGGTACCACCCCAGTGACAAGAGGGGTACTGCCCCAGTGACAGTTTAGTACCTTTGTTTCTGAGAATGTATACTTCTGACAGCTGTACATTCAGACCCGTAGTGTAAATCTGTCTTCTAACAGTGGAAGGATGGACAGAAATGCTTAAGCAGAAGTGATCGGTAGTTATTTAAAAACTTACAAATTTAAGTTGCCTCAACACAATATTTGGAGTGATAATTAGCATCATGGGTCACAGCTTCATAACTTGTCTGTTGAACTCACAACCCCGTTTCCAAAAAAAGTTGGGACGCTGTGCAAAATGTAAATAAAAAACAGAATGCAATGATGTGCAAATCATTTAAACCTATATTTAACTGAAAATAGTGCAAACACAACATGTCAAATGTTGGAAATAAGAAAATATATACTTTTTTTGAAATATATATTCCCATTTTCAATGTGATGCCAGCAACACTTATGAAACAGAAAATATAATGAAGGAGACCCCGAACTGTTGAGCGGCTGAAATATTATATCAAAAAACAATGGTTAAATATTTCACTTTCAGAATTACAGAAGTTGATCTCCTCAGTTCCCAAACGCTTACAGAGTGTTTTAAAAGAAGAGGTGATGAAACACAGTGGTAAACATGACCCTGTCCTAACTTTTTCAAAATGTGCTGCAGGCATCAAATTTTAAATGGGCATATATTTTTCATAAAGCACCAAATTGTCTCAGTTTCAACATTTGATATGTTCTCATTATACTATTTTCAATTAAATATAGAGTTTAAATGATTTGCACATCATTGCATTCTGTTTTTATTTACATTTTGCACAGCGTCCCAATGTTTTCAGAAATGGGGTTTAGAAGGTTACATATATTCCACACAATATATAATTCCAAACAACTGAAAAAAATTTTTTAAACTGGTTTAAGTAAACTGAATTTCCCAGGGTTTACAGTACAGATAGGAAGGTGAAGGCAGGCCTGTGTTTGGCATTATTTGTCATTAATATAACAGTAATCTTTGGCGTTTATATTGCAGTATAAAATGTATTCAAAATTGTGCAGCCCTACACACCAGTCTCTGTAAGTAAAGGGGGTGGAGACAAACATCTGGAGCGCCCTTTCTCGAGCCTCTCCGTGGTCTCCATAACAAACACTCCTTCTTACTCTTACTAGCACCCATTCATTCCTGGCCTTCTTCCTGAATACAGGTCATGCCAGCTTTTTCTCTCTTTCTCTCGCTCTCTTTCTACAGCCAAACATGACCGCAGGACCAGCCGGCTCCCTCAGAACTCCTCCAGATGCCACTGCTATGATCTATCGGTGGGCTTCTCCTTGCCAAAGTGCTCTAGCTCAGCTCTGACTCACTTGCTGACTTGGCTGCAGTCTTAACACACGTTTACTACTCGCCGTGATTCCATGTCTCCTGTCAGAGAGCTCTTAGTTTGATCAGTTGGGTCCAGGCTTAAGGATTAGTTTGTAGAGATGTAAACAGAAAGCTGAAGTCCAGCTTTTTGGAGTCCCAGTGGCGGCGCCGAGTGCTTTTATGGATGTGAACTAAAGTTTACTGTGGAGAGAATGATACATTGGCTTTTCTGCTGCTGTAACACTGCCAGGCATGCTTGTGGCACTATGGCCCACTGCCAAGAAGGTGAAGCCTCCCACTCTCTCAGAACGTCTTATTTCAGATTACAGTAAACGTCAAGAGCCTGATGGCTTAATCATTCAAAGTTGTTCTCCATTGCTCTAAACTAAGCATTTAGTGTCATGTAGAGTTAAATTAATGACACCAGATGTTTTCTTCTTAGCAATCACGTGATGTATTTTGTAATGGAGAAATTTCCACGGATACCATTAGCTGGTTTTAGACCTCAAGTACAAGACGAGGCCCACTGACGATCGCTCTCATAGAAAACTTTGTATATTTTTTTTAAATGTGATGCACCTCGATGACCTGAATTCTAACTCACTCACTCACATTTAGCAGGCTGAGAATTCTCCTTAATGGGGCGCCTTCAGCAGTTTGATGCTTTATAGGAGCAGGGCTGTGTCCTTTATACCAAACTATCTTCATTTTGTGAGAACATTACTGATGAATGGATTAAAAGAACATTTTCTTTCCTATAGGCCAAAAACTACAATTTCAGACCACAATGTTTTCTTACAATAGCGAAATTATATTGAAATCATAACACAATACAACTTGTATATATATAAAAAAAATCATACAGCCATTTCTGTTCATAATGAGCTTTTTATTTAAAAGCACATGTATTAGAGCTAGGTACATTTAGCAGAAAAAAACATTTGCTATTATTTCTTTTGTACAAAATGAGACAATACAAAAATACTAATAGTACATTTTTGATACATTTGTAGGTGTTTTTTTTCAACGCTTATTAAAAACTTACTGTCACAAATCTACAATATTTTAGTTACCTAAATACAAAAAATCTGTCAATCAATGCTTGGTGAAGCAGCAATTTGTAAATAACACAGGTCATGACACATTTTTTTATTCATAGTGGATATATCTAAAAATGTTCAGAAATAATATTTTACATAGTTAATTTTAGTGATCTATACATTATTTATATATTTAAAAGAAAAAAAATAAAACAGCTTGCTGAAATGATAGGACGGACTATACAATGTGCGGGGATGTGCAACATGTTGAAGGCTGTGTGGCGTTTGGTTGTGTAGATGTGTAGATGTTCTGTATGCTATGGTGTACTGTAAAATAAACTGGCAGAACTGTACAGCGGTTAGTGAGGACAGTAGACATCATTTAGAGAAAAAAAAGGCCAAAGAGAGGCATTTAGAGAGAGAGAGAAAGAAAAAAATCCACAGTTTTCTTTCATTTTTTTTTTTCTTCACATGGTAATATTCATCTGCACAAGTCAAGGACCAGGTGCAGAAACACAGACACACACAAACAAACACACATACATACATACATACACACATGCATACATACACACATGTATCCATTCATACACAACACGTGGCATTGAGTGACTGTGGTGGGACCCCACACTTTGTTGGGTGAAATGCTGGGGGACACTTCAACTAGAGACACCACTGGCCAAAGGCATGAACGGCACAGCTGCTGTTGAGTGATTATGTGGTTGGGAAGAAGAAGAGTCCATACCAGCCAGCAGACGAGGCTCTTTCTCCCCATACCAAAGAAATGTGCCAAAGCCAGTGCAGTCGATGGGACTCAACCCCAAATGACCCTGCGGACAAGTCCCCCCTGTGCCCCTTCACCATCCTCCCCACCCCTCCAGGACACAATGCGGAAGCACGGCTCAGCCATGCTCTCAACACTGCTGCAGATGGTCAGCTTCTATCTCAAAATCACAATTTAGAAACTTCCGCCGTCTTTTTTTTCTTTATACCCCCTCCCCAGCCCAACCCCCACCCTCCTCCCAAAAAAAAACCCCCCCAGTGAAATGCAACATCCCTTGGAGCTAGGCTACTGTGTGGGTAGCTAAGAACAGCATCAATGGGTTTAGTGCTCAGGAGTGTCTACGTTTCATAATGGTGTATGTGAATGCCCCTGGATTCTTTGCAACCACTATACACCACAGTGTGTCGGAGTTCATATCAGTCTACCACACACTAAAAACTCTCCACTGAGCTTTTTCATAGCTACACCCCTCAGACAGCGAGTGGTGACGATTTACAATGGTCTTGGATATAGTGCTATAAGTTACTGTTCTTCATACTGTTAATATATCTGTGATAGTAACATTGCAGGTAAAAGTATCATTCCTATAACTAAGGAATTTGTTGTCCTATACTGGTGAAAGGCCTCAGAGACAAGAGAGAGAGAGAGAAAGAGAGAGAGAGAGACATACAGACAATGAGAGAAAGAGAGAGCGATACTGGTCACATGACCAGCCTCAAAAGTCACACTCATCTTCCTTTTGTTTTCTTTCATTCAAGTGTGCATCCGACCATCCATCCATCCATCCATCCATCCATCCATTCATTAGTACGTTTTACTCTCTTTTCGCCTTATTCGTTCGCTCAGCCCTTATCACTCCATTCAGGGTCCTGCAAACCAAGTCGCAGGCCCACTTTAGTCCACACTGTTTTGGGGAAAGAATCCCAGTAGTAAGTTCCTTTTTGTATGTTTTGTTTAGCTTTTGTTTGTTGTGTGTGAATTGGGCTCAAAATGAAGAATAGCGAGGATGGTAATAGTTAAAAAAAATAATAACAATAATAAAAATAATAACCATAAAAGAGTCTCAATAGTAAAAGGTCTCTGTCTCCTGCCTCTACATTCTACTGTCAGATGAGAGAGAGAGAGTAACAGCTAAAGTGCTGCTGCTCTTCAGTCACAGGTGGCTCTTCAGGTTTCTTCAGAGGAGACGGGTGGGGGAGGGGGTTAAAGGTGGTTCCTCCCGTCATCCCTCTCTCACACCATGTTGTGGTGATTGTTCCTGTCTATGATGTCGGCCGAAGGGAGCAGCTCTTTCTTGATCGGCGAGGGCGGAGGAGTGGCAGACTTCACTTTGGGCTTGAACAGGTCAGACACGTAAAAGACCTAGAGGAAAGACAGAACAGGACAAAAAGGATATTATTAGAGATGGTTCTAACCTTATTGCTTACAATGCCCGCAAAAAACGTTCAGAGTTTAATTTAAATAAATTCAAATGAATACAAGTCAGCTCAGTGTGCCAATTACAATGGAAATCAACTCGCTCAGACGTGGAGAGAATTTTCTTGGAAAAATATTTTTTTTTAATCACAGCCCTACAAAGACAACATCTGAGTATTGTTTCAGGATACTGGAGTTACTGTGGGGGAAATGATGCTAACTATTATCAAGTGTTCTGGGGATGCAAGGTTATCGCTCTCTACTGGAAGGGGATACATAGAAGCTTTGGAAATCACACTTCTTGTAAATGTGATACCTTACGCTTGGGTGAAATTCCATTCACAATGTGGAACAGTGCAGATAGGAAACTAATACTCTTAGCAGCTGGCAGAAAAGCCAATTACAAGAAAATGTCTCAATCCAGAGCCAACCACTGTTGATGAATAGATGGATATAATGCAGAATATATACATAATGGAAAAGTCTGCTTCCTCTCTTCGATCACGTTTGGGTGAAGTGGATTGAGCACATTAAACCCATAAAGTCAGATATTTGTTGGACTAATGAATGTTAAACTGTGGTAATCTAAAAGATGTTAAGATGCCTCACTATTCAAGAGAAAAACAAAGATTAAGTCTTTAAATACAAAACACATGAGTATCTATCTATGTACGACTGCGAAACTCGGATATGAGTGTGACCGTACTGAGCAAAGTCATTGGTTGGGCTATATTTTGATTGTCCGCTATAGATGTTTTGTAGATACCCTCTTTTCCCATTGCATTTAACTAAATATATATTCAATTCAGGTTAGCCTTTTCATAACCCCAAACCTAACACATACTCTCTAAGTCTAGCCATAATCTCGATGCAAATCCTAAACTCAACCCTAATCCTAACCCTAACCTTGTTTCCGTAGATAGTTTGCTAACAAACTGACCATTATGATAAGTTATAGTGCACTGTCCGAATAAAGTGTGAAGGAGTTTGGTTTCGAAGGAAGACAGGATAAAAAGGAAAGGAACTGCTTTGAACCAAAGTATCAGATCTTTAAAAACTCCCTACTGCTCACTAACTACAGTGGTCAGTAAGTAAAGTCGTCAGTGGGCATGGTGCATGATATTCTTGTCCTGAATCACCTCAGTGACCTCAGTCACTCAGCTACGTTTTTCTCTGAGCTCATTCACTGATAAGGAGCACCCACCACACTACTGGGGTCTTTCAAGCACACTGAGTCAGTGTGGAACATAAGCTTGCTAAGACAGTGAGGTCAGTACGAGCGTGGCGTGGGAGGCACTGAGGGAGGAAAAGGCACTGCCTGGCAGCCATGGTTTTACGTCCTGATGACATCACCGGCATAACAGGAAAACAATGAGGGGTGGGGAGGAAGTATGCCCGCGTCGACGGGCCAAGTTCCACCCCGAAGGATTCTCAAAAAGTTTTGGATGGTCTTACTGGTGAGCTAAACATCCACCTGGACTGGCTTATGAGGCATGCCAAATGTAGTAATGACCTCTGAAGTTTACTTGCAGAGAGAGTGGACATTTAGTGGTCCTAGAAGAGCTGATGTAGAGATGAAGCAGGTTTTTGGCCTGTTCTGTCCTTCACACCCTATTACAGTTGCTGAAGCCCGGACAACAGCTGAGCTGGATGCTCGCGGCATGGAATAACAGATTCCAGCAGACCTGCCAACACATATACACGCAGGGTGATACTGTGATGGGAAAGGTGGGCAGCTAAGTTAAGTGGCAGTGGGGCTTCCTGCCATGCTATCGCCATAGCTGGGTAATCCCCAAGGGTGATGCCATTGGAAAAAATATATGCATGGCTAAGAAAAGAAAAAAAAAAGAGATTTCCTCTTTGGGTCTACGACTGATGAGGAAACTCTATGAATATTATCAGCACTTGTTAGTCTTATATAAAGGAAATGGAAATGGTTAACTCACCCAGAGAGAAAGACATGAGTTTGCTCTCCTAGTTTGCTGAAACACTTATCTCTTAACATTTTTAAATCTTTCCCAGCCTCTCACACCCACAAAAATCCCTTTGGCAGGGCATGAAAGAACACCAAGTTTTAACACCTGCCCACTGGCTTCTATTACCCTTTTTATTCTGTTCTTTTACTGAGCACAGAGAAATGTGTCAAAATTATTGTCTATGGTAACTGACCAGATGTAGCAAATAAAGATTATGTAGAAAAAACTTTGGAGTATTTCTTTAAGGCAGTCCAGAAGAGCCTCTAGTGAGTGCTTGCATGCATGTACATGATTAGATCATTAGCCATTTTTAATATGACCTTTCCGCAGTGCCAATGACATCATAACCTAGAACATAAAGGGCCTCTCTAATGCTTCAGTCTGAATTATGAGGGCGTGTGGGTATGCAATCATTCCCCCTTTGGGCACTGGTTAGTAATGTGCTCTTGTGTCTACGACAGCTCTGAGGCAGATGACCCAGGCTTTTTCACAATGGGCTGCTTAACACCGCGACCTCTGTCCTCTGACCTTGCGCGGCTAATGAAGTCTTATCGTGGCAGGGAAGCTTCCTGTGGTGGGACCCTGCATGTGAAAGTGCTCTTCCTCCATGCGCTCAGGCTATTGTGTTAGAAATGCTTCGTCAGCAACAGGAACCCAGTATGTGCAGCGTGTGTGTATGTGCACAGAGTATGCATGTGCCTGTTTATTACAGACCCACAGGAAACATTCCAAGAGAGAGCTGAAATGCACCTTAGGGCAAAGGCTGGGGGTGTACAGGCTTAGAAGTAGTCTGTAAATGGGCTTTAAGGGCAGTTAAAGGTGGACTTGAAAGAAGCTGTATATCAGTGCATTGGCTTTAGGGCTTGTTTTTGCCTTCTAGTCAAGCAGTGCGGCACGGAGTATAAGAAAAGTCAGTTAGGAACTTTGTGGATATGGTCCATGGTCCCACACTGCTGTGAAGCAAACCGATGTCCAGAGATATAGAGACATGTTGGGGGAAAAAGGCCAACATGAAAGTGAATTGAACTGAATTTAATTCAGAGCATTTTGCAGCCATTTTTATCAAGAGAGACAGTGTAATCATGTTTCCAGTCTCCAGCATATTAGGTTGTAACCTTACATACTACACTACCTAAAGGCTTTAGCAAGTTATGTGTTTCTTATTGCTATTTGTTTGGTTGTACAGCATTATGACGTTGCGCAATGCGACTATAGATTACCAGTGAGATTTCCAGTGCTGTGGTGATGCATGCATGTGACATGCATATGAGTTATTGAGGGGAAATCTCCCTAGAAGTCCAGTACTGCAGCAGAGAGGGTGCACAAGAGCAATAAAGCTTGTGGAACCCAAGCCAAACCATTAGTTCTTTTCCCGGAGGGAGACTGAATTGAGCCTCGCAAGATCTTAAAGAATGGCCATAAAAACACAATTGTTATACACTCTGAACAGGGCAAATCAGCAGGAACTCCAATCCCAAGTCTATCTGGGGATACAATGACGAAATTGTATTGTTTTCGTGATATTTTTTGTTATCGTGATATACAATATGCATTCTGTGCATATCATCAGTACGTGATGATGATAATTAAAGATGTTTGATTAAATGAATAATAATGATGATGATTAAAGATGCATGTTTTATTACAAAGAAAGCATTATTATTATTTTTTTAATTAGATTTAGTGCAGGACAGTATGTGAAATGTTAAATAATCCTCACATTCATAGATTTGATAGCAGTTTTTAAACTATCACCTTTTAATCATTATACATCTATCATGAAAATTTCTAGTTGCCATGATTTACTATTTACTCCATATCGCCCACTCCTAGGTCTATGAATGCCCAGTAAAAATGCAGTGACAAACTATTTTATTGTAAGTATTTCTATCCACAACTGTGATCTTTGGCTCCCCATAGAGGAATTCCACATCCCAACAGTGGGAATTTCTTAAAATAAAAAAGTTTGTGCACTTTGTCTAACAGTGATCCACAGCAAAACAAATAAAGTTCACACTGATGAAACTCTGCATGGCAGTGAGATGGAACCTCTTAAATGCCTGGATTTTGCAGACTCATACATGCACAGCCAGACCAGGAAATTATGTTATTCTATGACTAATTTAACACATCTATTCATAACCAACCACTATGCCACAATGCGACCGGATGAAAATGAGCACTGGGCCTAATTTTAGAAAGTAGATCCGTCATTATTCAGCTTTTCAGTTTTTTCAGTTAATATACGAAAAAGGCTTACAGAGAGTGACAGATGGATCAATTGAGCATGAAGTTCAACTCTACTGTTAAGAGGTTAATGGTAGGCATTTCTGTGTATGTGTGTGGTCCTTTATGGGTGTGGGCTTGCCTATTCCTAAAAGTGTGAAATTGAGGGTATGTTTATGTTTGCATATGCGTATGGCGCAAGGCATAACTTGTTTCAAGGCACCACTGCATTCAGTGCTCATGTGCATAACGACTGCACAGAAAAGGCATCGACATTTGGCCCTTATCTCTCTCGCGTAACATGGGTAGACTTTAATAAGACCGTTAAAATTTCCTTAGTTTGATGGGGGAAAAAAAGCCGCCACACTACTATTTTTGGCTCCACACTGCCTCCATCATTGCCATGGCTCCGAACAGAGAGCTGTATGTAAAAAAAAATGGAGACAAGCCAAACGGACACACATATGGGAGCGGGTGATAGGCTATCGTAATGTCTATCTGGCCTAGCAGGCCAAAAAAGAAGCATTCAGTCTTGGAGTCTTATCAGAGGAACACTGACCATGACCCTGAGTGCTCCAGAGGAATGCTGGGGCATTGAAGGTCAGGAAATGCAGTGGAAGAAGAGAGGGGAGTGTGGTGACGGGGAGAGAGAGAGAGGGAGAGAAAGAGGAAAAGGCACATGGAGCGTTCCCCTCCAGCTGTTTCCCCTTTTCGTTGACCCTCATCGGTCTGCAGGAAACACCTCCGAAACTGAGGCCTGGCTGGGCCATAACATCTCTCACTCTCTCCTCTCCTCGTTAGCTGCTCAGAAACTAGGCCAGCATTGATGACTTGGTCTGGAAGGAAGAGCGGGAGGATGTGGCGGCAGTCCTGACAGGCCGAAAAAACAAGAATTTAGTCGTTCTTTGCGATCTCTGTCAGACAAAACATAAGCCAGTGATCCCACCAGAGACTACCTCCATGAATCTGGTTGCACTGATATAGCCCAGGCTTCCATCTCAGGCTTGCAGAACACACAGGCTTTAGGAGCTCCTTCTCCACAGAGGCAAGACGAGAGGCACCGTTAAGCTCAAGGACCAGCAGGCCTGGAGTTTCCTTTCATCAGACGCGAGCCAGCAGGTTGACATTTAAGGTTGGTCTGAGAGCAGTGCTCTCTGGGCGGCTCCGTCCTGTGGAGCCGCTCGAGCTGATTCGCTCTAATGAGGATCAGACCCCGAGCCTGTCAGCAGCTCTGCGCCAACTGCCAAAGCTCACCAGGACCTGCCGCTGCCAGACGGGCTCACTTCAAAGCCTGCCACTTTGACATGGACCTTCAGGCAGTGTTCAGTGTGCAGAGACCAAGCTTGAATTGCAGTGAGCGTTCAGGACAAAAAGTGCTCCAAAGGGAAGAATCAACTCCACCAGTACAGGACTGGCTTCGCCTATACGAACCAAAAGGTTTATGAAGTCCAGGTGTGGCAGCAGCATAAATGGCTAGCAATATAGGTTTGTCCATGTTTATAATCAGTCATTACACAATGGTTGTCTCTCTTAACGTAATTACCAGTATATTAATGAGTTAAGTATCCTAGCTTTATCTTAGCCCACTGTCCGAACATTAAAGTTAAAATGTTAACGTAACAACAGCATACCATCAACACTTCATCCAGCTTACCCAGCCTTCTTAGTGTGCTGTGGCAAAGCCCATAAAGTACTATACTGCAATAAAGAGTTTACTATGGCAATAATATTATTACTATGTTTACTATGGCAACAATGTTATTATGTCTCAGTCTTATGGTCTTGGCCAGAACCATTGCTGACAAGCTTTTGATGTGTCAACTGAAAATGAAGCAAAGGGTAGCATATAGCATGTATATCAGGATATATCACCTGAAAGCTCTAAGCAGCTTGCTCAGCTAGTAGCAGCAACATATTGAAAGCAGTCTGAAATTCTGGCTACCTTGAAATTGCTTCCAAACGGGAGGGCATTGCCGGGCCTGACAACACGGACAAACACGGCCGACGCAGTGGCCGGATCTGACCTCCAGCGTCCCTGGATGTCCCTCAACGCATTGCGATGCACATGACTGGAACTATAACTTTAGACCCTCGCTGTGTTTTTATTTCTTCGGCAGCCACGTGCGCTGTATGTTCTCCCCATAGGTTGCCTCTGAACTCTGGTTATTAGAGATAGTCTAATTGGGCTTCCAAAGTGTTCACAGATGTGTGCGTGTGAGCAGAGTGGGAGTTAGGTGGAGGAGAAAGGGGAGTGGGAGAGCTTCCAATGCAAGAGTAGTAAAAGAAGAAAAAAAAAAAAAAGAGAGAGAACACGGGCGCCTCAATCTGCATGGCTAAGTGCCTTGTTTCTGCTCTCTCTCTCTCTCTCTTGCCACGTTCTGCTGGTTTTCATATGCCTCACAAGATGTGCAACACTTTTTAGACAGTATACTTACAAAAAAATTCTAGTGAAAGTACTACAGGAAAAAAAAAACATGAACGAACATGATCCAGTGTCACTCTTACAAAAAATGAGACATGGGAGTTGTGAATACAGCTACTGGGAAACTGTTAAAACAAATTCATAATCTGATTTAATATCAGAACCCCAGCACTGCACAATCCAGTGGGACAGCTGGACAGATCTATGGTCATCATCAGGGTACAATCATAGACGTAGGTGAGACCTCATTCCAACCAGTCATAGTGCGGAAAAACAACAGTATCAAATTCTCAGCGCACACTGGGTAACGTTCATATGAAATGTCCCAAAGTGTGCCAGCCGCTACTCAGCAATCAACCTGGTAGAAGTGGAGCAACAGAGGCTTTGCCAGGTTTGGGCAGCCCTGCAGGAGCCTCTGTAAATGCACTTTTCATTTTAGCATGGCTAACAATTTCCACGTTTGTCTTTGGGCCCCCGTTTGAAGGCAATGCAAGAGTCGCTACAGGAGTTGTTAACCCCTTTAACGCCGAGGCCAGTAATAGCTATTTCTGTCTTTTTTTAAACTACACTCCTCCTTTAATGACATTTCACAATGTTTTTGTAGCATTTATTATACCTAACATAACGTGGGTGATACGTTCAAAGACTTTGGGTCTATCGTCTTTAACTCATGTAAAATCTGCACAAGAGTAGTTATGACGTGTATGTTCATGTTACGCATGGTAAAATGTATCAGCATGTGGATTTGGAGCTTTTTGTGTGCTACTGCATTTTCTATCGTTATGTAAAAGAAGCACAATGCTGCCTTTATTGCTGGATGCACTGATAGCCTGTGAGTGGGTGTGCGCACACATTCAGAGAGGCTTATCAGTGGTTTATTCAGATTCAACTTTGTATCACAAATTATGATTTTGAGAAAGCAAACTGGTCATTTGCCTCTAATTGTTACTCTATGAAATACATCAATAATAAGCCTTTATTGCTCTGAATTTCATTCTGAATGTGTCTGCATGCTCGCTCAGAAACAACTGCAGTGCATCCAACTAAAAAAGTTCACATTTTCTATAACTTTTACACAGTTATAGAAAATGTGGTAGAACACCTACAGCTGCAATTCCACATGCTGATACATTTTACTATGCCCAACATGGACCTACATCGAAAGTACTCAGGGCAGATTTATTGACTTCAAGGGAATAAAACCAGTCATCCCACTTTATGTTAGGCATGATAGGGTAAAAGTAGAGGAGAGTTGATTGAGAAGTGGAGAAATGGAGCTTTCATGGCCTCATACCCTTTAGTCTTCTCAAAGATGAGACAGCTGAACATCTCAGCCATGCAGAGCTGATATATATCAGCCATGAAAATGAAAAAAAAAAGTCCAAAATAATTAGCACTGTCATTTCTCTTTTATAGAGAGCTCACTTCTCCTCCCCATCCACCACCACTCACTTCTCTATCACTCTCTCTTGCCCAGAGTTAATTTTCCCTGGCACCATCCAGCTTAGTGAAGTGCTTTGGCTGCTCCAAGTGTCTGGCACCAGCTGAGGTGACATGTGTCACAACTATGGAGTGTAGAAATTCCTTTTTTCCAATTCTCTGCCTGTTTCTTCTTCTGAACTCTTCTCCCTTTCTTTTTCCCTCTCCCTTGGAAAAGGGGCCTCCTTGCTACTGCAATGTTGCCCAGCGGCTCCAGGCAAGCAATGTGCTCCTCATTAGTGAGATTTGCTGCCCTTGTAATGGCTGGACAACTTAGTGGACAGAGAGAAAAGGGGGGTGAAACAAAGACAGAGAGAGTGAGGGGTTGAAAGCGAGAGAGGGTGGGGTTTGGGAAACATCCTGGTCCGTTTCCAGTAAATTCTGTGGTTCATTTCCAAGCACAGACTCCAAATGTCCTCACTTCAACATGAGCAGAAAATATAAGCCCATGATAACTCAACTTTCGATTGCCTCTCACACAAGCTTATCTGGCCAAAAGCTCACCGCAAAGTGCTTCCGGCCTGTCAGGGGACAAAGAGAATGATAAATTCTCAGTGGGGTGAATGTGCCATAAACTCCTGGGTAAAGCAGGTAGTAACAGAACGGTATGGCACTTACATGAACACTCCCAGCATGTGTGGGGGAGAGATATCTGCTAGTTTTGATTGGCTACAACAATATAGTCTAGCTCGGCAACTAAATGGAAACTTAATGTTATGAAGCTATTTTAATTTCTCATTAGATTGAATATGATTTTTGGGAACGTTCTTCAATGCTCGTTTAACTTAACAACAGTTGCTACAAAGGAGCGCATGGATAGGCCAATTGAAGTAAGAGTCCTTAGAGCTTAAAAGGTTAGAAAAGCCTGGATAAGGAAATGAGGGTAGAGGGACAAGAGCAGAGACAGAGAGAGACATGAGATACTCACTATGCAGTAGGCCACAAGCGCTCCTTGTACAAAGCCAGCCAGCACATCAGTGGGGTGGTGCTTGTGGTCAGATACGCGGGACAGGCCAGTGTAGAAGGCCATCATCAGCAGAGTGAACTGGAGAAGGGGCCTCAGGAGACGAGCTCCACGCCACGTGAACCGAGACTGTAGGTAGAACTAGAGAGAGAGATAGAGAGAGAGAGCAAATGAGGAATTAGCTACAAAGACATGGTCAGTAATAATCGCCAGCCTACTAAACTAGACACGCTAACAGAGCTCAAACTCCTTAAGCTTTATAAGAAATGGGGGAAGTTGATCATAAATGAAAGAGTAAAAACAGTACCAAAAAAATAAATAAATAAAAATAGTGGATGTTTCAACACTGACTAACCACATGCTACACGCAACACACGGACAAACACACAAGCACAAGCACGCATACACAATGCAACTTTTTTCAAAAGACAAATCAGGCTTGCTCTTGTGACCCTGTACAAGCTGAACTCTGGTGATGTGTTTTTGACACTTTAATGCTTCAAGATTACACTACAGGACAGTCTTAAAGTAACACCGCAAGACCACAAGACAGTGTCAAAGTAACACTACAGGACGGTGTCAAAGCAATAATAAAGGTCAGTGTCAAAACACTACAGGACAGTATCAAAGTAACAGTACAGGACAAAGTCAAAGTAACACTACAAGACAAAGTCAAAGTAACACCACAGGACAAAGTCAAAGTAACACTACAAGACAAAGTCAAAGTAACTCTACAGGACAGTGACAAAGTAACATTCTGGGATGACTCTTTAGGATAAGCCATCATTTCTAGCATTCTTGACCCAAAAACAAAGAATGAGCCCTGATGAAAAATGAACTTTCTGGAAACAGGAAAGCTCATTGGGGCAAGAAAACAGTGTCAGCGTGAGAGTGAGATGCTGAGGAAGGGGCGGGCAGGGTCAGGGGTACAGGGTAATTGGGGGTCAGCGGCTCGGTGACGCAGCATGGCAAAAAGGGCCTCTCAGAGAGGTCAACGTAAAAACCTGTTAATTTCCTGCATGTCCCATCCCAACCCTGAGCATCAGTCACTAACATGAGGACAACTTCCCTTACGTAGAACACGGAGGTGGGCCATTAGCAAACTTCAGTTCCACCCACAGAAACGGACACAGAACAAAGTAACTGGAGATCAAAATGTTACACTAAACAAACAATAGCCTACAACACAGCCGTCGCCTCGAGCGTGCAGATTGCCAGCTAAGGTGTGGACGAGGTCAGCCTCGTCTTCCTGGACATTGCAGCTATTGTATGTGCCAGGAGGAAGGGATCCCTCCCTGAGGATGTTTGGGAGTTGGAATTTCCTCCCTGGATCTCAGGTGATGTTAAAATATTCTGGGTTCCTCATCAGCAGCCAGATACCCTGGACTAAAAATAAAACCCTTTTTATTGTAATCTTATGTTTTATTTTTGTTTATTTTTTTTAATGCATTCTCTTTTTCTGATAAAATAATTATTGATCTACAGTTTTACTGCATTTTTGTGCATAATAGGTGCTGTGTAACTACAGTTTTTCCTCTTCTTCTGAGTATTATTCTTACATGGAATAAAGCTGGAAAAATATTTCGCAGCTGGCTTATGAGACAGGGAATTTTGCATCCCGATAAGCACCTGCACATCCTCATCCTTCGTCATTTAGCTAATCTGATCCTGCTTATCTAGCGTTCAACAACATCTCAGAGCAGGAGGATGATGGAAAGATATGGATAAGAGAGAACGTACATGTTCTAGACAATAACCCGCACACCGAATGTCTCAGACAGACCAAATCACTGTGTGCAAGCTTATTATCCAGTCATGTTATGGCATGCAGGATGAGGCCTTACAGGAAAGAAACTCAAACAAATATTACTGTATCCTGACTCAGCAGCCTGAAAACACAGCTTTACTCATCTCTGTTTTTTTCTGTAAGTTCCCTTTAAGACTCTTAAGACTCAAAAGCTTACTAAAAGAAATTGGGTCACTCTAAAAGGTCAGTAAGAGAGAATGTTGAATATGAAATGTGTTTACCTTAGCTCCTTTAACACCTTAATGCCAAGTCATCTTTTATACAGGGACGGAAATATGGCAGCACACAGAAAGCTCCACATGCTGATGCATTTTGCTATGCCCAATGTGGACATGCATGTGACCTAACTACTCTGGTGGCTCATTTTAATGAGTTGAAGTTTGGACAAAGCCAAAGGCTCTCGATGGTATCGCCAACAAACCTTCTCTTCTTTTGGTAATTTAAAGAACAGTCAAAAACCAGGTGAACAGCACTATTTGGAAGCAATCTGACCCTGAGATTTGCCGAAAGCTTTATATGAACAATTTTTATTAGTTTCAAATACTGCACTGATGGTTTCGCCGCTCACCCCTTAAAATCTAACCGACAATCTCTCGTAAACAGCAAATATCACTAGCTTAGAAATCCGCAAGTTTTGACTGAAGCTGTATTGAATGTCTTTGCTTTTAATTTGCACATTCCGTTCGTCCTGTGCCAATCCGGGCCTGTTATTGGCAGCCAGGGAAAGCGGAGGGATTTTCTAACCCAGAACCCAGAGTCTTTTTAACCACTGACTTGTGGATATGTGCTATTTCTCTCCCTGAAAAAGAGACAAACAAATCCACAGAAGAATTAAAAACAAACATGTAAATAAAAGTATTTTAGGCGGAATTTTTCCCACGAAAAGCTCTCTGACCAAAGAGTTGTGGTCTGTGGGGAAACAGATTAGTGCAATTTGTCTCAAAAGTGCCACTCGTAAAACTTTGACAACAAAGACAACAACAATTCTTTATAAGAACATCCAGAGAATGATTCATGCTGGCAGCACAAAGAGAGCTTTTACTTGTGGTGGATTCAAAAGACTAAGAATGCCCTTTGTTTGTCATTAGCTTTGAATTGCTGGTTCTCTTTCTAGTATTAAGAGTCGAATTGTTAAAAAAATGTTAATGTTCATTAAAAATTACTTTTTTTTCCATTTATACATTTTTAGCACACAAAAAATGATCTCAGTTTTTGCCTAGACAGCAATAACCAGACCTTTGCTAATGTCCCATTTTGGGTGAAAGTCTATTAATTAAGCTAACTGTGTACTGCACTGCTCTTTACTGTGCAACTTCACAGTTCTGTTTTTCTTGGATAAAAGTACTGTTTAATTTCTTTGTCAAACTGGCACAAACATACACGGACAGAAACTTAGCTACTGACTTTGTGCTTTTTTTTAAAGGACATTGTCTTTTTTTGTTGACTTTGGTACATTTTGGACATGAATGGCAACTTGAAGAGTAAAGCTCAACTATGGAAAGAATAAAAATTTCAATAATAGTCCTTTAAGCTAATATAACAACAGTAAACAGTAAGTGAAAGGAGATAGAAAGACTGTCTTTTATTTGATCGAAGAGATGACATCCCCTTACAAATGAAGTATTAGATGTCAAAGCAGACCCTATTCATAGAACACACTGTGTATATATTGTGATTATGTTGTGATATTTATGGAGCACAGTGTTCAGATTCTCCTCCCACTCATGCATAGTGATAATGATCATTAACCTTTCAACTCCTTGGGACCACCAGTGGTTCCAAAACGCACTTTGTCATATTCTTCATAACTTTCATATTTCATAAGCTACATCCAAAAGGTGGGTGTCATATGAGAGCTGTAACTGTCTTCTTTCCAGTCAAATAGATGGGTAATGTAATATTAAACCCTTATAATAAAAGAAGCTGAACTCACAATTTTCTACTGAAAGTCGACCCATTTTGGTCTATAAACTATAAACAGATTGTGATATACAGGTACAGTGATACACTCTGTAAAAATTATTTATATAAAAAAATACAAAGAGCGTCTAAGATTTTTGACTTTCAGCAGTAAATTGCAACATGTGTATGATCATAAAACACGTTCTGTTCATTTGAGGGGAGCTTTTACAAAAAAAAATATAACATTTAAAATGTACATTCATTTCATGCAGTTACTGAATAATTTGCATTACGGTTTGGTCATGGAAATTCAGATGGAAAAACCAAAATATACCCTGGAAAATAAGAATCCGCAGATGTAAACATGGAGACTTGATCGTAGTAAACTTAATCTTCTGAAAATCTGTCACAGTGATACAGAGACATAACCGCTGCAGTCATGCCACTGAAGTGAAATGAAATGGAAAATTGAGGGAGAGTTAATAGCGCTCTCTCTCTCTCTCTTTTTTTTTCTTCTCTCTCTCTCTCTCTCTCTCTCTCTCTCTCTCTCTCTCTCCCTCCTGGCTATCGTTACACAATGCTGCGCAATGCCTGGAATGCTGTTGCCTTTCACTCAGTACATAAACAACTGACCACAAAACAAACAAGTCAACCAGAGCCTCAGGACAGTGTACATTAAGCACTCATTAACACACACACACAAAGACACACACACACACACACACACACACACACACACACACACACACACACAAAGACACACACACACACACACACAGGAGAGGAATGTGGCACATTCAATTACCATAAACCACTGCTAATGCTAAATCTGAACTTATGGCAACTATCTGCTAAAGGATCAAAAAGGGGCAATTAGTGTTAATCTTCTCATCTCAGACTGGGACACGAGCAGAAAGGGAAAACGCAAGTGTCTAGACAGGGCTGCTGGGAGTACGCAGGGTTATGAGGAGGTGTGATGCTCAATAACTACACAGCTGCTGAGTGCAATTTCAGGCATAGTAAGGTGACACCTGGGCCTGGAGACAAACAGTACTAGGAGGTTACCTCTTAGAAGCTGCAGTTATTGACAGCCATAACAAAAGCACAAAGTAATTTAAACTAAGTGGACCATGACCTACATTTATTGTGTATTTACTTTTCCCCATACACTATTTATATGGGTCTGTGTAGCAAAAACAGACATAATTCACTTTACATGACCATATTACAACCTTTCTTCACCCCTTTAGAATTAACCAGGGTGTGCTTTAAGACTACTATATGTAAACGATCTCTCTTTTAACTGGCTGCCCTGTATTGTTCCTCTAAAAGCAGTCCAGGCCTGAAACACTCCTTATAGCTTCAACAGGAATGGGTGGGCTTAAGTGCTGTAGGCTGAATAGATGTATACATGTTAATGTGTTCAATTCAA